AGGTGATTCTATCCATTTAACATACAATTTGTACCATTACCACACAGGTGATTCTGTTCATTCAACATACAATTTGTACCATTACCACACAGGTGATTCTGTTCATTCAACATACAATTTGTACCATTACCACACAGGTGATTCTGTTCATTCAACATACAATTTGCACCATTACTACACAGGTGATTCTGTCCAATTAACATACAGTTTGTACCGTTACTACCATTCTGTCCAATTAACATACAATTTGTACCGTTACTACCATTCCGTCCAATTAACATACAATTTGTACCATTACTACACAGGTGATTCTGTCCATTCAACATACAATTTGTACCATTACTACACATGTAAGATAAACACAAGAGCTAGAAAATACCACACACCCAATTTGAGTATGACACAAAAAACCTTATTTGCTTTTATAGAATATTTTAAATTAAACATATTACAGTGGAATAGTTTTAGGGTTTTGTATCTGAGGTGGTCTTTTTACTGTATGATACAGCTAGTCAACATAAATAAAATCTCTGTAATATCCTTTGTCTGAAAGATTAATTTTGAGCTCTTTACAATACTGTACAAGTTCAATTTTACTTGACACAGAAACACAGGATTGGTAGATTTACTAGGAAACCAGCACTTGACTGGGGTTAAAGGTTAACAGTTAAAAACAACCATTTTAACGAACAGATCTAGCTACACTAAGAGTTATGTATTCTTGATATCAACATTTACACCTGGGGTTAAAGGTCAGCAGACAAAAACAACCATTTTAACAAACAGATCTAGCTACACTAAGAGTTATGTATACTTGATATCAACACTTACACACCTGGGGTTAAAGGTCAGCAGACAAAAACAACCATTTTAACAAACAGATCTAGCTACACTAAGAGTTATGTATACTTGATATCAACACTTACACACCTGGGGTTAAAGGTCAGCAGACAAAAACAACCATTTTAACAAACAGATCTAGCTACACTAAGAGTTATGTATACTTGATATCAACACTTACACACCTGGGGTTAAAGGTCAGCAGACAAAAACAACCATTTTAACAAACAGATCTAGCTACACTAAGAGTTTCGTATACTTGACACCAACACTTACA